TTTCCAGCATCTTTTCAGTAATCTAAAATTACCACACTTACACTGTTAGTACAAACACAGGACCTGCAACTTACGGTGCATGTGCATCAGTAGTAGCCCAACACTAAGAAATATCAAAATATGAAGACAGACAGGCAAACAAGATGTACTCGACTTTCCCAAAGTAAAATTGAGGAGACAGTTGTCTTCACAAGTCAGATGACTTTACCCTTCACAATTCTGCACCATCACAGTTTCTCACGGATAGACACAAGGATGTCATCTGGTGCAGATGTATAAAACAAGTTTGAGCTGTAATTTCCTACACAGTAAATTGGACCAAAATTTTTGACTGTACACCTCCAGTCTTTGTCAAGGACTGAGCAATCCACTGCTTGTCATACCACTTTATGTAGATAGCACAAGTTACTAAGTGAGTCGTTGATCATAGGTTGCAGAAGTTTGTGGCGCCCCCCGTCTCTGTTGAGGGACGGTTGCAATGCCCTGATGAACACTAGAGTTATACAGTCGAAAATTTGTCCAATTTCTTGTGTTAGATATCACAGTTCAAATTTGTTTCAAAGCTACACAGATGAGCTTTCGAGCTGAGGTGCAGATGTGTCTAACCACACGTCACACTTGTTTGCACACCCCCATGTAATGGAACCTTGTGTCGTGGAAACGTTTCGGCCAGGGGAGCGGCCAGGCAAACTCCCGCGGCAGGACCCCCCAACGTTCCCCTCCGCCATCCTGAACATGGAGAACCACCACGTCCGTGACAGGAGGTGCGCCGGGCTGGGTTTCTTCAGCACCTCGTGGTTGGCCAGCGTGTGGTAGATCCAGAACAGCCGCGTGGTGATGTAGTAGGCCACGACCACGTCTATCGTGTAGTGGTCGTGCGCCAGGAGGATACAGAAGATGCCGATACAGGAGACCAGCCACGTGCACCAGTGAAGAATGAACCAGCCACGCGGGGAATCTGCCATGGGGGAAAACATAAATGAATGAATGAATGAATGACTGGTATATTAAAAATCAAGTACATTGCAGCGATGGGCTGAATTATGTACTGTTTACAATAGGGCACAATAACACTACACATAATGCCTTTAAAAAAGAAAGCATCAATAAAATCACTTAAAACACCGGATCAAACGTACACCTGGGCGAAAACCTGACGGTACAAGAAATGCATATGCACGCAAGCGTATGAATTCTGTATGTCAAACTTTTCCTGTGTGTAAATCAGTGTGCTTTGATGTACGTTAAGAATGTGCGTTCAGATCGTACGTTACCTCCAGTGCTGGTATACGATCTGTATGTATGTTCTTGACGTACATTAAAGCAGGTTGATTGTATCAAAGCAGGCTGATTCCTCCCCTGAGAAAAATGTTGAAATCTTGGCCCTCTAAAATGCTATTTCCTGCATTTTAGGAGCAAATTCTGCTGGTAGATTAAGCTTAGTTGAATGACATCTCTTTCCATATATTTTCATGCAGATTTTGTCCATCAAAGATGAAGGAATGGGCAAAATTTTTGTCTATCGCAAGTGACAAAATTCTGTCAAATGACGGAAAGGCAGACTGGCTAGAACACTGGACAGAATGGAAGGAAGTTGGTCCAACCCCGTATAATCATGGTCCACATGGGGTCAAAATTCAAGGTCAGATAGCAAGGTCAAAGCTACCAATGTGCAACGGCTATATCAGAATATATTCCACGGACACCCTACTGTTTAAAAATTATATTCATAATGAGAATTTGCCACCTCAGGTGGTACCGATATGTGAAATTTGGGGGTCTGGCTCATGGACTACAATGTAGTATACTCACACTCCCTGATGAAGAGGTAGAGGATGGTGAGGATGACTGTATGGCCACTGAACAGGTAGTCTCCACACAGGTGATGGGACCCAGTAATGGACAGGCCCAGGCCAAACATCATTGTCATCGCACGATCAAACATTGCTGATAAATTACCATGGATCTGGGCAAAATCAGAGTGGGTAAAACAATACATGTTAGAAAGACTCGAAACACTACCTGCATATGTAGGTTAATGTATTTCTGATGTCTACCTGCACCTCTGTACTGGTCCATTTACTGGGTTTATACTTTCGGTGTGTATGAATACCTATTTGCTGCATTGACTGTTACTGCCTATAATTGAAGTATCATCATGGATGTGGAATCGTTTTTGCTCTTGTATAAAAGCCTTGTTCGACCCCACCTCGAATATGCGAGCGTTACTTGGAGTCCAAAAACAAAGAGGGATCAGGACTCTCTGGATAGAGTGCAGCGTAGGGCAACGCGCCTCGTGCAATCCATTTCACATCTGCCATACCCCGACAGACTTAGAGTCTTGAGATTACCAACACTGTACTTCCGTGGGCTGAGAGCCGATGTGATTGAGTTGTATAAGATCTCACATGGATTTGAAAACTGCGGACAGAAAATCACTGTAACCTCTGTAACAGGTCAATGTTCATGCCCAGTTTATCGAAAAAGACTAGAGGACATGCCTACAAGTACCAGGTACAAAAATCAAATGGACCCAGGTCCAACTTCTTCCCTGCAAGAACAACCCCAATTTGGAATAAACTGTCACCAGCCACAGTAAACAGCAGCTCAGTAAATGTATTCAAGACCAAGTTGGCTATAGAGTGGAAGGATCACCCTGACAGATACGGATACGTCTTCTCCTACTGAATGCCCAAACTGTCTACACCACGAAGACGGCCTCATTACCCAGTAAGGGTACCTAATGGCCTGGATTCAGGTGAATATTCAGGTGAATATCAATGTAAAGAAGTACTGCAGCCTTCTCAACAAAATTTAGAGTAGGTGGCTAATAAGAAAAAGTAGCAGGCGAGCCACGAAGTGGCTCGAAGCGAGCCGCGTCCCGGTACACTGACTTCCGGGTTCCTTGAACAAGAATATTACGAGAAAAAGGCCAAAAATCGGCGTAGAGAAATATAAATCTCCCCGACAATTCTTTTAATTATGCATTTCTGTAATAGGATGTTGCTAAGTAGTCGTAGAAAAAACGTAGAAAGCAGCGTAAATGTGTCTCTCTTCTTCACCGTCGAAGAAAAATGTTCCCGCGCTGCGTGCTGCTAGCCACATCGCTTATCCAATCAGAACGCAGGTCATGTGAGGTGAACCAATCAGAGCGTCGATCTCGTGGTGCTACTTACGTATTCATGACAAGATGGCGCCTGAAATCTCCTGTTTCTGTACAGCGATGCGGAGTGTGCGTTTTTTATTCCGGGGTTTTCTTAGTTTTGACGCTGATTTTTGGCTCGCCGTGATTACGCTACAAATGACACACTAGTGGAGACAACAGATGAGTGATCATTTTACGATCGACAAGAACTTTTGATGAATGAAAAAGCTGTGAAATCTCGCTGATGGCGATTTGTTTTTGAAAATTTGTCTTGTGTTTCTAACTGTGTATGAAAGATATGAACACGATTCTGTACATGTCTTGATATTTTTTGACGTGATTTGTACTAGTTATTTGTAGCAGGAATGTTACTAGTGCCGGGAGAATTTGGGAAGGTAGCGGCTTGATAAATTTTCGTGAGCAACGAGTTTAGGAAGCAAATTCCGCCTAGCTCGAGCGATACGGAGCGATACAGCTCCGCGGATACCACTCGGCGGATACCACTCGAGCCCCGAACAACAAGACCCTCCCCCCGTAAAGTTTCGGCCGCTCTGGCCGCAGGCCGCTCGTAGAAGCAAACGCTGACTCGTGCACTAGAAAGCTGCACAGGAGGCTAAGAAAGAAGCAGTTTCAGATCCAGAAAGCTAGCAGAAAAATTGTCTGAAGTTCGTCAGAATAAAATGAGCCGGTGGAGTTTGTGAGAAAAAATTGCGGAGACTACAGTGTTTTTCTGAAAATTTACACGAAAGTAGCCGGCGCAAAAATTTGAGTAGGCGGCGATTTTCGCCGGTAGCCGGCTTGTTTTGAGAAGGCTGTAGTTGTAAAGGCGTCGTGTAGTATGAGCCGGTATATGAAGAAGTAGCCTGTGTTACACAATCATGCTTTCGGCCGGATTGATGTGCAACTGTTACTAATTGCAGGGACTGCGCTAATGCCGACCAGTCGCGCTGTCCTGATAAACCGCGAATGTGCGAGTGTTCCCTGTAGACAGTCCCGGGAGTCATTTTTTCGCACATTCCAGGAGCCAAACCAAAATACGTTCATGAACCGAGTCCAAAAAACCGAAACGTGAAAATCGGATGATCGAACCTGATGTACATTTCTCTTTCTGTAGATTGTACACACAACACACACATCTTTAGATAATCTGGCCATGGCAGGTAAAAAAAGTAACCCTGAATCATACTAGATTAGCGTAAATGTCAT